TTAATTTAGTTCTCTGTAATTTGCTCAAGTAAATATTTTCCCATTGGTTTATTTTGCTTTTTAATAATTTGGTTTTTTTAGATCAGATTCTCAAAAACTGTTTGAGTTTCATCTGGAAACTTACTGAAACTGCCTATTCCAAGTCTGAGTCCTTAACTTATTGGATTAAGAACTCTGGCTGTGGTGTCCAGCAGTGGACATTAAGCGACCCCCTCCAATGTGAGTTCTAGTTTAGGAACTTATGCTTGAAAATGTAGAGGCTGTATTTGAGAATATTGGCTTTCAGTGTTTGGCGTTGAGTTTCTTCTAATTCTATCAGTGGATGCTAAGCCTAGTACTCCAGGGAACTCTGCAAACACCAAGACCAGGAGAGTAATGATCCATGGGAGGCAAAAAGGTAGTTTGGTTCAACACAACTCAGTAGACAGTATTGGTTAAAACTTAAAGAGTTTGATACCAAATAGTATATTTTAGCACAACACAATTAGGTGAAAACTTTCCAGGTGATAATTATTCAATCTTGTGTGCACAATAAAACACAAAGCAAGCTAAATAGAGACTATATTAATATAGTGCTGACTGTATTAAAACTTTGTAAGGTACATGTGACACCTTCTATAAGATGGGTTCTATAGGTTGACAGAAAAACATGCTTATGACAAGTGTTTGAGTGTCCAGTGTAGTCTTAGCAACACAGATTGTGTGAAAGTTGCCGGGTTATTCACCATGCCAGCTGCCAGTCTTCTGGGCAGGTAACAGGTTATACATCCCTTCCTTTGAAGGAACAATTCTATGTGTATAACATTACTGTTTCCCTTATGCTTATCTATGAGCACAAGGACTTCTACACCTCCTACATAGTACTTGGTCCAGTATTCCTTATCTACTTCTTTAACCATGTCATCTATACTTCTAGCTCATGATGCTCTTATTACTAAATTATTGAAAAGTCACTGTATCCTTATCTGATAAGTGCAGGTATAAAATTTCTTCAAGCATTTGTTTTTGCATCTTGTGATATCTTTAACTAAATTCAATTTCTCTTCTCATTTGAAGTGCATATAAAAATTTTTATTTGAAGGGATTTTATGTATTACAAAAGTCCTTTGGGTTCATTTCAATTGAATTTATAATCAGGCTCCACAAAACACTCATGCAAGGAAGTGACTCTCTCAACCTTTTGAAGTGACTCACAACAAATTTTCCTTAAAGGGATCCTCTTAGAGAGCCCATGTATATTTGATCACTCTTATTCATAGTCCTTGTAGTCTTTATGAAACATCAAATAAATTAAGCAGTTATGTCTGCTTCTTTTTAGTGTGATCCCTTCCCTTCCTCAAGATTTCAACTTCATAAACGGTGTTGTTGACTACACATGGCAATTGAATAGAGGGGGAGTGTCATGAAAAATTTGCAAGTATAAAAGGCTTTGGTATATGCAACAATCAATAATTAATATTTAGGAGATTACTATTACTGAGACCTTATGAGAAAGGAGAATATTTGACACAGTCATTGCATGGAGTAGGTGAATGGAATGACCACGGAAGTGCCATAGAACCCTGAGGTTGCATTAAGGGTTGACAGCGATATCAATTTGTGATCAGCACTGACGAACTGCTTCAGGGGCAGGCAGAGAGAAAGAATAGCCTCTGAGGAGTTGAAGATTTGTCAAGAATTCTATTAAAAAGACAAAGCTATCTGTAATTGATAATCACTTGAAATGACAATGTAGTCTTCTTCAAGGGAGTCTCTCTGGGGAAACTACTTTGAAGGGTAGCTGCACACCCAGCAGTAGATGGACAATAGGAAACTAACTGCCCAGCAGTAGATGGCCAACAGAAAGTTAACTCAATGGCATCTTTGGAGGGTTCTTGTCTTATAAAGTCTTGTTAGAGCTTTTCCTTTCCTTTTTAAAAAATTTATCCTATTTCCAATTTTTATCATGTATATATACACACATATTATCTTTTTACCATACAGATACTTTTGGTATATATTATGGCAGATGTACGGAGCAGAGCATTGTTCTTGGTCTTGCTTATATACTGTCTAGTGGGCTTAGTGGCATTCTAGTCATGTGTTTGGTTATCTAGAGTGAGTGATGTCCCTGGGTTCTAGTTGTCAGGTTCAGCCCTGTGTGTAGTGGTGTGTGTGTAAGCTTTTTTACATGTCTAAAAGGCACTTTTTCTATACTCATTACAATAATGATCTGCTTTATGAGTCAGCAAATTTGTTTCAGTTTTTCTGTTTTCCAACATGTCTTTTATTCAGATTTTAATTCAAACTGATTTTCTATATCTTACCTTGTTTGTGATTAATCAGTTGAAAATCTCTTGCATACATTCACTTTATTGAGAAACAATACTCTCTGTGTAACCTAATATTCATCCTAGGAAGAATCACAGCTTAGCCTTGCCTGTTTCATAAGTGAAAGAACACTTATATTCGCCCTTAGACAAAAATAATCTAACTCAAAGTGCATTTTATAATAAAGCACTGTATTGCTCATAGACTTTTTGATGATCATGTGAGTATTCTTTTGTACTATCATAAAGTCTGCGTTTGAAAGTCAAACAATTGCATCTTTGGCATCATCTGTATTTTAGTACCCTTAATAGTATGTTTCCCCTTGCATTTTGAGCAACAGGCCTGCATTCTCATATTGTACCATGCCACACAAAACATGTTGCTTTTCCTGTTTCATTTATTTATTTATTTATTTATTTATTTACTCCTTCATTTAACAAATGTTTATAAAGAATCTCTAGGTTGCAGGGTCAGGATTTTATTGAGAATTGGTCAGACTTCTTTTTCCTATTCCTTTAGGCATGGTTGCCTTCTATACCAAATTATTATTCATCCCTTTACTTGCCTGTTTAATAAACATCTACAGAATATTCATGGGTTATGTTCTGAGCTGGGTTTGACAGTTCTGTGGGCAGACAATTCTTGCACTTACCTTTGGAACCCTATTCACCAAATTCACATATCCTTAGCATCCGTTATATGCTAATGAAAATTATTTGCTCCTTATCACCATGTGGGCTGTTTTTATATGACTTCCTACCTATTTGCTTACTTACTTACTTATTTTTGGAAGGAAACATTTTTGTCTGTTGCAGACAATGAGAACTAAGCCCTGACACCCAAGCCTAGATATGGGTGGCATGTGCTACCACTCATGGCCAAGGTGTCATCCAGACCTAGACTGCTGCTGAGGGCCATGTCTGCGTCCATGGTCCTGTAGCAGCCAGGGCCTGGCTCCAGATGCCACTAAGGGTCATCAAGAAGCCGAGGGTCAAATCAGAAACCCGAGTCCAGGTTGGAATCTGAGTACGAGGAAGCATCCAGACCTGATTGGCCTGCTCTACTACCCAATGACATGGTGACATCTGGGCCTGAGCTGCAGCTGAGGGCCTTGTCAGGGTCCGTGGCCCTATGGCAACCAGGGTCAGTGCTGATGTCTGATGCTCTTCTTACCATCAAAGGCCGTGTAGACTCCCAAGATCAAGGGCCATATTAGTGTCTCAGAGCCATACTGCCTCTGGGGGCAGTGGTGACATCCAGACCCAACTGCTGTTGATACCCATGCTGGGGTCCATGGTCCTACCACGATTGGGGTCCGAACTAAGCTTGGGTCCTGCATTGACACCAGTGGTCACACAGAGACCCAGGGTTGGGGCCACAACCTGAGGTGGTTGTTGGTGTTCAGTAACCACCTGACTACCAGAACCATCCCCATCTTAGTGGTCATTCCTTCTATCCAGGGCCAGGACATCCTGGCCCAGGCTACTGCCAAGGACCATGTCTGGGTTGTGGTCCAGCTGCAACTGGGGTCTGTGTTGATGTCTGTGGCCAGTGTTACCTCAGGGGGCCTTAGGAACCACGTGAGATGAAATCAGAGGGCTAAGCCAAGCTGGCCCCATCCTTCACTGTCCTGGAAAAGCTGTCCTGGCCTCTCACTGGCTACTACAGCATGAGAGCTTCTGGCTGCTGTACTTGGAGAGAGGATCCCCATCCCTTGCCATAGGCAGGCATAAACCTGAGGGCATGCATGTAGGGGAGCTGCCTTTGCCATCACACCTGAGGCGGGTGGCAACAGTGGCTAGATCTGACCTGCCTGGCTAGCATCCAGGTCCACAACTGGGCCTTGGGTTGATCCACCCTAGCATCTACCTCATCTGGGACCTGCTGTAGCTCATGAAGGAACTGGTCCTGTGGAATGATATCCACAAGATCCCTAAGACTCCTGGCAGCCACAGGATACCCCAGAAAAGCTCTGGTGAGGAACCAGTGAGGATGATGTCCCAAAAACCAGAGGCCTTGAACCAGACCGGTGACTCATTCAATGAACATTTGCCAGTCAAGCTGGTGGGACAAAGGGGCACACTATATGACACACGGAAGCCTCCAGTGCCACCAGGACAGATGAACAATGTTGGAGAGGCAGAAGAGAAGAAGCAGAGATGTTTCTGTTCCTGGTGTGTGTGTGTGTGTGTGTGTGTGTGTGTGTGTGTGTGTGTGTGTGTTTGTTGTTGTTGTTCTTGCTTTTGTTTTCTTGCTTACCTTGTTTTTTTTCTTTCATGGGGAGGTCACAGTGGGGATGAGGGGTGTAGGGGGTAACCGGGAGGTAAATAGACCTGGGGTACATGATGTGAAACCCACAAAGATTTAATAAAGAAGTTTAAAAAGGAAAAGGAAAACAAAATGGAAAGGTGGTGAGTGATTAAGGGGGTTGTCATGGAGACAGTAGGTAAAGAAAAGCTTACCAAGCACGACAAGAAGTGCGCTAGAGTAGAAAGTGCCTAGCAGTGGTGTTTCAGATACTTTAAAAACATCCATTCCCTAGCTGTTTCCTCGGAGATGTACTTGCCTTTCTTTGCAGCCAGGCACCGTCATTTATATTCATTTGAATGTTTGCTTCTGCTTTCCTTGTTCATTTTCTCTGTTGCCTTCAGTCATTCCTGACAAGGTGATTTCAGCCTCATTTTCTGTTGGCTCCTCTTTCATTTTCTTCCCAGAGATGAAGAATTCCACTTTAAGCATAGTGCTTCACGGAACTTTTCATTTTGCAGATTGGAGAAAAGATTTGCTGTTGATATATTAAGAAAGTTGGAAGAGCACAGAATAAAGACAAAATGCTTATGTAAAGAAAAAAAGGATAGAACAATATTTCAATTAGAACCACTGTCACCAAATGCCTGCCTGAATACATTATCTTCAAATTAAAATACTCTAAAAACTTAGAAATAGATTTTCCTAGGCCAACTTGTAGTAACAATACTTTGTTCAAGAAACATAAAAACAAAATCCTCCTGAGCGGTTTTAATGAAAGCAATGAAAATAAAAGACACTTGATAGTTGTGTTTCCTGACAAATACAGGAATATCCAACATGCTTTGAATGTTTCACCCAAGTATAAATTCTTTCCTATAAAGAATTAGTTATAGAGAAACAGTTGTAAGAATTGATTTTAACCCTGAATTTAAGGATCTGATCAGATCTGGTAACATTTCCTTTGGTAGAGTGTCAGCCATATTTAAAGGCAGGTCCCAATTTTAAAACAAGATAAAGAAGCCATTTAATAATAAGATCATCTTGTTTGTTTAAAGATTTTATATAAAAAATATTTTGGGCAAACAAAATCTTATACTGTACAACTCAGAGATAATCATTTAGTGAGAATTTATTTTGTTATTTCTTTTGCTTTTGAGAGTATAATATAATTTCCCAATTTTTCTCTTCCCTTTCCTCTCTTCAAACCCTTTCTTAAACCTCTCATTGTTTTCTTTTAAATTTATGGCCTCTTTTCTTATTAATTGCTATTATATGCATACATGTATACACCCATATATTTCTATATATAACCTGATCATTCTGTGTAATGTTACTTGTATTATGATGTGTTTTTAAAGAAAAGGTACCAGTCACTCAAATGCTTGTACAAGGATTTTGATATTGTTTCTTCATTGCATGGCTGATTAAGGTTAAAACGGGTTAGGTTCCAGTGTAAAAAACCAGTGGATTGCATCTCCTTATAGGCTTCTTTTTCCTGAAACACTTTACGTCCTTGTTCATGCCTTCCTGCAATTTCTCATGGTCTGCCGTATTTCTAGTGACGGTCTATTGGCTATCAGTCTTGAGAAAGATCCTCTCTGTGTACTTACAAAAAGATGCAGTGATTCATTTAGCACAGGTAGCTTCTAGGGCTCTGACCCAGTCAGTCTGAAAACTGCCTATTGTTATTGAATTATCCTCCTGTTGTAATTATTAACTTAATTGGAAAATAAAAAAAACATTAAACTATTTACTCATGGATGTTCTTCCTTTGGTGACAAAGTTTAGTTCTGCGGTTTTATAGTAGAGTAGGTGGTTTTCAACTTCAAATAATTCAGGAAATAAAGGCTATTACAATTAAAAGTGTCTCTTTATTTACTCATTTAGAAGCTCTTGGCAATATTTAAGATGATAATTTCCTTTAGGTTTTAGGAAAAAAATTGTTCTACTGCAAGGAATTGCCGGTGAAGTAAACTTTGAGAACACACAACAGAGGTTGTAAATGGCATGCAAAATTTGGTAAAGAAAAGGAAACTATCAGAGTGGTCAGGAGGGGCCAACAGAATAAAGTCAACAACCCATCCCCTAAAGTTGAAGGTCTGAGCATTTCTGCCTAGAGTAGAAAGAAATTGCAGAATGTGAGGGAAGGAGGAATGACTAGGGCTCAACAACTGTGAAAGGAACAAAAGGGCCAAGGTTGCCTGGAAGATAAAGAAGGGCATCACACAGTCTGTGATGGGAAGAAAGCAAAGGTGGCTGGCATTGTGCTGATTCACATGTATATTCTGTTTAGTCTTTGGGACATTCATGGTATCATCTTCTCTTGCCTGAAGATTCAGAGGCTTAGCCAAGCTAAACCATAAAGGTGATGAATTCCAAACCAAGATGAAAACTAAGCTTCTTTGATTCTTATTCATATAGTTTTGACTCTGTGCTGATGTAAGAGTCCTTATATTTAACATTTTTGACTTATTAAAATTGTCATTTCAAATAGTACAATTCAATAGAATTTATAGGGACCTATAAAAGATAAGGTGGGAAGACCTTTGCTTTATATCAGTCAAAAATGTTTTTTTGTCAAGCCCCAGAGTTCATTCTGTTCACTTAATGAAGAGAGACGATGATATTGCTTGACTAGTAAGCATTCTAGGAGTCCATAGCATGAAGTTTGAAGCTATGCAGTCACCACACATCTCAAATACACACAGAAAGCTCCTTCTGATTTTTTAAAAAGCCATCAGTGCTGCCACCACTGTCCTAATGGCACTGCAAAAGGGCTTGAAGCAATTGTTTCATCATCCCATAGTTGGTTCATTGAGATTTGAGGTTAAAATGGTCAGCTCACTTTCCTTCCATAGTCACTACTAAACTCTTTCTATAGAATCTGTGTCATTTTGTTTACATATAGTTAGTTCTTCGTTGACTGTCTCTCATCCCTCATCCTGCCATGGGACACCTGCTTATTTTTAGAGTTTCTTTCTAAGAAGGAACTTTTATCACCTCCATGGCAAAAATCCCTTGGCCTTTTGTGACAGTTGTTCCTCTTCACAGTATAGATTATTTCTCTTTCATTGAATGATGCCCAATTTCCATGTTTCCCTAGGGACCTGCAATGGTAATCTTGCTTGTCAACTTGAGTGGACCTGAATTGTTGATTAGACAAGTCTCTAGGCACACCTTACCTGGGAGGGATTTTCTTCATTTACTGAAATGAAAAAGCTCACCAGAATGTGGGGTGACACCTTCCAGCATGCTCTAAGTTTTAGGAAGTCTGAGGGAAATTTTTTTTCTATTTGTCTGCTTGCCTTCATGGCGTACTAATGACATCATCAAATCTCTTTGTGACTTTCTGGGAAGTTCATCTACCCTGCTGCTGTCAGGGCTGCAGCTACTACTGCTACTATTCTTTGTTGACACCAAAACCCACTTTCTTTGGCTTTCCAATGTGGACTGAAGATAGAAGCATTCTAGAGGATTAAACATACAATTGAGAATGGTCAGACATCCAGCCTCACGGACTGACTGCCTGATTCCCAGTCTCTCCAGTGTGAAGACAGCTAATTATTGAACTGCCTAGACCATATTGTTCAAGGCTGGCTAATACTTTTTTGATGTACATTCATTCTATAGTTATGTTCTTCTGGAAAACCAGGTTAGTATAGGTATGAATGGGGCACCATCCTGTTTTTCTCATGGTAATCAGAACTGTCACTTATAGCAGCTGATAGAACATTACTGAAGGTTCAGCAAACATTTGTGTTCCAAGGGCCAACAAAGCATTTAGTAGTTATGATTGGTTTAATTTGTGGAGAAATGAAAATGGACAAAGTAATTATCAACATATGACAGGCAGAAGAAGTTGAAGAAGAAAGAAAAAAAGAGAAGAAAGAGAACAACAATAACAAAACATAAATGCATTGAAAACATTTATTTAAGAAGCTTATATAGAGCACTTATGATGAATTTTAGGTTCTGGAAAATTTGATAAAGTCTAATTCTTCTAATGGGAGGAAGGAAATAGACAATAAATAAATACATGAATCTAATGACAGTTTGTGGTAAAGTGCTGGAAAAAAATCAGTCAATGTAAGAGCTTGGGGGCATTGCGGAGGTGGAGGATATAAACAAATGGTGGTTAGTGACCGTAATCTAGGAGCAGGGATCTGAAATGAAATATGGGTTTTTTTTTTTTGAGACAGGGTTTCTCTGTAGCTTTGGAGCCTGTCCTGAAACTAGCACTTATAGACCAGGCTGGTCTTGAACTCACAGAGATCCGTCTGCCTCTGCCTCCCAAGTGCTGGGATTAAAGGTGTGCACTACTACCGTCCAGCTTGAAATGAAATAAAGATTTTATGAGTGAGAATTATTCTACTAGAGAGCACGTAGGAATGAAAGAATGTAAAAAAAAATGTTGTGCATGACACTTGCTTGCACCTTGGAACAGTAAGTAGAGAATGAGGGGAAACAGGAGAGGCTCTAGGGCCAGACAGTTGCTCGTACATCACACCAGAGGAGCAGAAGCCACGGCCTTGCACTAGCAGCTGACTGTCACACAGCTAGGTGTTGCTCTTGGACAGAAAGGAATTTTGCCATTGATGGGATATAGTTATAGGCAATCCTTATTTATCCACAGGCTATATATATATACAGCGGAAGGGTCTTGAAGTTTATGTCTAGCAGAGGTATGGTTAGCAAAGCTGAAGTAATATTTATACTTTGGGGGTCATTGCCCTCTCCTCAACATTTCCTGATTCGGTGAGGTAGATCACACTGGCCTTCTGTGACTAGCTGCTTTCAAGTGAGGGGAAAGGATGAGGAGGCCCAGACTTGGATTCATTTTCCAAACTGGCTTTATAGAGAGATTTATTTATACCCTAGTTAATAAAGCATGCTTTATCTTACTTGATCAATTCTTTGAGTAAGTGGGACTTTACAGGACTCGCTGCAAGTTCACTGACCAGATAGGTTTCTGAGTCTGCCTTTCTTTATCAAATCTCTTTCTTGTCTCATATTACAGGATTCCTCAACTTTGACATTCGTTTTTTAAAATTTTAATTGTTTAAATTGATTTTATTTAGCTACACATTTTTTCTCTGCTCCCCTCCCTTTCTCTCCCCTCCCCTTCTACCCTTTTCCATGGTCCCCCTGCTCCCAATTTACTCAGGAGATCTTGTCTTTTTCTACTTCCCATGTAGATTAGATCCATTCTTAACATGGGGGAGGGAGAATTCTTGGTTTGTGGGGAGGTTTGCTCTGTATTTCGGGGGAGGAAGCTTAGCATTGTCTCTGTTCTTCACTTGCTAGATGTCAGGAGCTATCCCCAACCCCAGACACAGCCAAACTCAAGACATTTATCACTTGTTCCCGGAGTGTCCCGACTGCAATGGTGCAGAGCCACTGTCTTATTAACCACAGGAATCTCGGGGGAATGCAGGACTTCAAAAAGAGAGCAATGAACATGTGTGCTTACTATACTGTCTGGGACATCAGAAATATTTTGTAGCATACTGCCATTTTCAGAGTATAGACAGGCTCATCATGTATATTTTTAAAGTTCTTTTTTTTGATATTTCCAAACTCACAGCTCAGAATAACCAATACATTTGAAAACCATTTTCCCCTGAAAATAACAAGTCAAAAAATAGCAAAGCTATACTCTTGCCACTCTTAAAAAAAAACAAAACAATTTTTCCTCTCATCAGGATGCCTTCTAGCTTTCCCAAGGTGGAAGGGGCAAAATTGTTTTAAGAAGTAGCCCATGCCTTCCTTCCTCAGGCAAAGGTGAATGCCTTCTTTCCTTTTCTGTACTCAATAGATTGTGTCCCCCCAGAATTTGCATACTTAAGCTATGAGTGTACTTGGAGACAGGACATCTAAAGAGGTAACCGTAGTTGACTGAAGTCACCTGGCTAAAGTCCATATTCATTGTGGCTGGTGCCCTTATAAGAAGAGACACTCCTCTGGGAGTGTGAGTGCCAGAGAACCACTCCTCACCGGATACTAGGGCTACCAGCCTGGATCTAGAACGGGCAGCTTCACGAGTTGTAAGAAAATGCATTCCTACTGTGTGCGTCACTCTGTCTGTGTTTTGGTACACAGCAACACAGGAAGTCTAATGCTGATCCCTGGCACATAGGTAGACTCTTTCAGAACATTTGAGTGCCACCAGTGCATTCCCACTTTTGATGCCACCCTTCTTCCGACGTCAGTTAAGCCCCTTGTCCTCCAAGCACCTCTCTCTCTCTCTCTCTCTCTCTCTCTCTCTCTCTCTCTCTCCTCTCTCTCCTCTCTCCTTGTCTTTGCAGAAATCCTAGCCCTTTAGAGTTCCTTGGGTTTTGTACATTTCCAGCGTCTACTTTAGACCTTAACTACATATTGTTGTATACGGTTCTCCATAGCTTTAGTATATTTATTCTCTAAAAATAAGAGTTAGCGTTCATTTGTGTCCTCACCTTTCCTTTCTGCTTGGGAAGTAGGCTTATTTTGATCATAGTACCTATTGCTGCTAGAGGCTTTTGTTCCCCTTTTTTCCTCTTCCTTTTATCCCTCCATCCCTTCCCCTTTTCCTTCACTCTTTCTGACTAGACCCACAGAGCTCAGCACCCTATCACTCACTGAACTATTTCCCCCTCCCCATGCCCCTAGAGTTTTCCTCTTTAGGTTATGAATATCAGCTTGACTGAACTGGATCAGACTGGAAAATAGGTAAAGCACATTTTGTGGTGACTCTGCAAAGGTGTTTCCAGAGAAGAGTGGCATACAGCTGCAAGAACTGAGTGAGGAAGACCTTTTCTCTTTGTGGGTAGAACCATTAGCTATGCTGAGACCCCAGATGGCTTTGGAAAGAAGAAAGGAGAGGCTTGTTTTCTCATCGTGTTCCATCTCTCCTAAATGGGCGTTCACATGCCACTTTCTGAGTGGGCACACTTTCTTGTTACTGTCACCAGTGAACCTCAGACTTTAGTTTCCTCAGCCTTTGACTGTGCCTGTAACTTTGACAAAAACCTCCCTCTCCACGAGCCATTGGATCTTTGGCTTAGGACTAGGGCTGCATCACTGGCCCCTTTCATTCCAGAGGCTTCCAGCTTAGACTGGGTGGTTACAGGTTACAGATTGCCCACGCTCTCCAATCTACAGACATCCATTAGGGACTATACAAGACTTTGGGAGTCAATGTAGTAAACGTAGACCTTCCTGGTTCTGTTTGTCTGGAGAGCTCTGACTAATACACTCTGCAGTAAATTGTGGAGGCATCTATTTGAGTCATGTCAATGTCTTCCCTCACTTGGTACTTCACCTAGTTTTATGACAGAGTGGCAGAGGCTCTAAGATAGCACTTGTGGATGTTGTGACAGTCACTGACATCCATATGTCTAGTTCCCACTCCAGCTCTCTCTCTTTATTTTCTTCACTTTGTCACTGACAGTAGAGTCCATTTGAGCCTGTACTCTCAGAAAACACTAACAATTAAGAAATTACCCTCCCCCAGAGGGAATGGAATAGTGGGCGGCGGGGGGGAGGAGGAACCAAGTGGGAGAGCAATGAAAGAGATCTTGATAAAGGGAGCCACTATAGGGTTAGGGAGAAATCTGGGGCTAGGGAAATGCTCAAAAATCCACAAGGTTGACCCCAGCGAAGACTTCTAGACATAGTGGGGAGGGTACATGAACTGACTTTCTCCTGTCATCAGATTGATGAGTATCACAGCTGTCATCATAGATATGCCTTCATCTATAACTGATGGAACCAGATGCAGAGATCTACAACTGAGCTCCAGACTAAGCTCCAAGAATCCAATTGAAGAGAGGGAGGAGGAATATATGAGCAAGGAAGGGCTAGTCCATAACGGAGAAATCTACAGAAACATCTGAACCAAGCTCGTGGAAACTCTAGACTGATAGCTGTGGAGTCTCTATGGGGGCAAACTAAGCTCTCCATAGGTAGGAGGCAGTGATAAAGCTTGGACTATTTGAGGGGCCCCTGGCAGTAGAACCAGGATCTATGCCTAGTGCATGAGCTAGCTTGTTGGAGCCCATTCCCTGTGATGGGATGCCATGCTCAAACTTAATGCAGGCATGGGTTGAGGTGGGTCTTGGTCCTGCCCAAAATTAATGTGCCAGACTTTGTTGACTGCCCATGGGAGCCCTTACCCATTGGGAGGAGTGTATGGGGTTTGGGCTGGGGGAGAGGAGACAAGGGGGGAGAACAAAACGAGGGAGAAGGAGGGAGAACTTTGGTTGGAATGTAAAATGAAATTAAAAATAAAATAAAATAAAATTGAACAAAAGAAAAGTTA